GGCGGCGACGGCTTCGACGACGACGACGACGACTCCGACTCCGACGGCGACGACGTCGACGACATAAGCCTCATTGAGATTTCAAGCATTAGGAGCACCTGGATTACCGTGTTTTGGTCGCCGCTGCTGGTACCAAGGCGAGGGCGACTGTCGCCGTCGTCGTCGTCGCGTTGAGCACACCTCGCGCGTATAAATACACAGGTGTATCTTAAGGACGTGCGCTCGACGCGTCCCCGGGAAATCTGCGAAGGACCTCGAACGTCGAACCCAATCACTCGCGAGCCGAGTCACGGGTTCAGCCGGGTCGTCGCGACTGGACGAAGGTCATCCACGGAGACATTTCATCGACGAGGAGGAGCGTGCCGTGACGACGATTGTTCGGAGCACGAATCGGGTGTCCTTAACCGAACGCGCGCGCGCGCGCGCGCACACACATTACACAAACCACACGCGCACACACACGACAGGACTCGTCGAGAGAGAATGACGGGACAACGACGATTGAAAACGCGACTATAAGTCACCGACTCTCCGCACGTGTGGTTGGATGTAGCAAGCACTCTCAACAGTCTCAACGCTACTCTCACGCTCAACCGCCCGCTTACTCGTCGACCTCGTCCGCCTCGTCGTTGATCCGGCACGGCCGCTTGCTCCGTTTTCAGCAGCATCGTCATCCTCCTTCCGCGCCGAGTATCGCGCCGCACGCCAACGGCCAAAGACAAGCACCGACAGCACTGGACAGCACCGCGCCGTCCGCGCACTGTCAACACCAGGAGGCGCTCTACCGGGAAGACGGCCGCGCGCGACCACCGTTTACGCTTCAAAATTCATTTCCACGCCGTGACGATTCACGATTCACGATGTGACGTCGAAGAGATTCATCATTAGTAATTTCTCGCGACTTAACATCCTTAAATTACAGCGATTTCGTCCGATTAACATTAATTTATGTGATTAATTCAAGTGGCAGAATTGCTGGAAAGATCATTTTTAGCTGTATAATTCATTGTCCCTGATCTAATCGATGGTTCTAGTTTGCGTTCTAATTTCCTTGAAACAGCAAAAAATTAATTTTATGCGTGTCAACAAAATTATGTATAGGACCTCTTCTTTTCAGCCTTGCATTCATCTTTTTTTTTCTCCAAGGTAGAAAACAAAAAAAGAAGGATGAACCATGCAAAAAGTAATTCAGCTGAAAAGAACAGAGCTTTATAGATATTATTTGACAAAGTAGAGTTCAAGAGTTTATCTCGGAGTCACTCTCAGCTTCTCTTGAAAACTGATCGAATCGGCTTTTTATTTCTTAATTTCTCAATTTTAGTTAAAATAAGCCAAATGTGGTTTATAGTCTTAATTATGAAATTAAAAAGTTTTTTTTCTCTTTCCGAGAAAAAATTCTTCAAAACTAAACTCATTATCCTAAATACCATCCTAATAAGCAAGAAACATTTTGGAATATTTCAATAACATTGCAACAACATTTCAGTAACATTGCAGCAATAATTGTTACAACGTTGTAACATTGCAACGTTTCGAAATGTTTCTTGCTTACTGGGATTACAATAACATTGCAGTAATATTACTGCAAGCTTCTACATATATGCTGTATGAGAAGCGACTGTGATTCTTTTCTCTGCTTTTTAAATTACAATGTGTGTTTCTATATTTAAAAAAGAAATCTCTTTCTTCACTTTCATCTTCTGGAATTTTTTCAATTTTTCCACCGTAAAAGGACGTGATTATCATTATAATATCGCTCTCTCGTGTCTCTTCCACTCTTCTCGCACAAAGTGATTGCGGCGAGAAGACACGAAAGGCTGTGTACGCGAGAAAGGCGGTGAAAGAGATTGACCAACGAGCGTTAACGAGGGCGCGAAGAGCGTCGAGAATTAACGACACCGGGGGGGATGGGGGCTGCGCGACCCTCTTCGATTATTATCCCCTCGGATACATACGCGCGGGGATCGATTTGCGGTTCTCCGTTCCGCAAATTCCGGAATCCCGCCGCGCGGGGCCTCGTAGCGCATCGATTTTGCATTAGTTCCGAGCAATTTGCACGACGCAACGACGTGGCGATGAGAATTAAATGGGTTTCCAACGGCTCGGATGATAGACTCTGCCCGACCGAGGGTTCTAGATTTTTCGGAAAATACGAGATAAAAAAAGATCTATACACGACGCATACATATATATGTCTTATGTTCGTTTCTATCAATGTAGTTTAATTTTAAGTTCGGTTCAACTAGTAACGTTTTCGATCGTAGCGCGTTTAGAACGAACTGGGTTGAATTAATTTAACGATGTTACATACTCTATTATTGATAGAGAATATAACATCAACCAATGATAGAGCATGTGACATCGACCTCCTAGGTCGGTTCAAATCCACTACATTAAAAAACGCTGTAACTCTTTTATCTTCTTCTGATTTTAAGAATTAGAAAAAAACGAAAATTAAGTTAAACCGAGATTAAAGTTAATCTACATTGGTGGAAACGGGCGTTAGGGTGCATTCCGTTTCACGCATGATGTGCATGATGGATCATTTTACTCTTCATTAATATTCGGCGAACAAGGATAAAATGATACATCAAGCGTGAAACGGAACGCACTCCTACGCGATAACTATGTAGATTCCGCTTTGAATTCGATCTAAAAATAAGCGTGCCCTTCCACAATAAAAAGAGGATGGACTAATCACCTACACCGCACCCATTAAATCGATCCAATCTCATCCAACTGCCATTAAATTTAAGTCAACTTGACTTAGCAAACATGTGAAATAGAACGGCAATGACAGTGACGACAATGAGGTGACGTTCCCGTGTATTCTCCTCCTTTGTGTCTGCAATAGCGTCTCTTATCACCAACTTGGGATTCATTTCAACGACAGTTGATAAGAAAAATCGTGCGATATAACGATTAAGAAATCGCAGGTCGCGGCCCTCCTAAAAAATATTTGTTGCGCATTATCGCATTTGAAGGAAACAAGGAGAAAGGGGAAACTTCAATGGGTTGCATTCCCGTATTCGGATTAAGATATAATGAAATGTAATATTAAAATATTACGATTGTATTATTACTCTTAAACACACAATCCCTACTATGATACAGACATTCACTCTTACATCGTTTACGACTAGAAACTCAAGATTGTTCGCATACGCAAATGGACGTGATGATATATTAGGTATTCGTTTGATATCTATACAGTTCCCATTTATTTTATTAGGCCTTAGCGCGAATAATAGTTTCAGGCCTTGAAATCAAAAATATTATCAAAAGCATTAAGTAGACGAGTGGAAAATATTTATCAGAAATTGTTATCTTGAAATAAATTGGATAGCAGTTATTTGAGAGCAATACACGTATTCATCTAAATACTTAAATAAAAATAATTCTTTAAATAATGGGAAAAGCACTTCATAAAACAACACTTAGTGTTTAAAGAACGTGATGTGCCGTGTAAATATAGTGGAAGTAAAAAATTCTTATATCATTAGAATATAAGATAACGTAAACATAATATATATAAAAAAGGTTTCTTTGCCTTAATTTCAGTATGTTTACAAATCTATTATGTCGTCGTTTCTATTGATCGGGTCTCCCTTGAGCAACGCCACAATCATGCTAAAGAGTAAAAAAAAGAACAAATATTTTTCATTTCTTACTCACTATATGTAAAAATATGTATTTTCCATATTTCTTTTACTATATATAAATTGTATTTATGTAATACTTACCAATAAAGATAAATGAAAAAGAATACAATACAATATCCAAGATGAATCATGCAATCACGTGTATATCTCTTCAGCTTGCTGCGATTGTGAATCTCTGTGGGATCGTAAACTCCCATATTACCACTAGGAACGCTAAAGTACTCGTAAAACAACCAAATTGACATCGGTATGTTCATCAGCGTTAATATAAACTGTCCGTGTATCAATAAAAGAAATACCACAAACGTATGTCCTATTAACTTTGGCAAAACTCCCTGCAAATGAAAATTAATGATGAATAATTTACATTATATTTACATATATATATATATATATGTATGTATGTGT